ACTACTACTACTACTACTACTACTGCTACTACTACTACTACTACTACTACTACTACTACTACTACTACTACTACTACTACTACTACTACTACTACTACTACTACTCCTACTACAACTACTACAACTACTACTACTACTACTACTACTACTACTACTACTACTACTACTACTACTACTACTACTACTACTACTACTACTACTACCCCCCCGCCATGTCCCCCTTCATGCCCCGGCATCCCCACCCCTTGGAGCCTCTGTTTTGGGGACCCCCCACCCCACGAATTCTCCCCAAAACTCGACCAACACCCCCCTCCATGCCCACCTCCATGCCCCGGCATCTCCACCCCTTGGAGCCTCTGTTTTGGGAATCCCCCACCCCACGAAATCTCGCCCAAACTAAACCAACACCCCCCTCCGTGCCCTCTCCATGCCCCGGCACCCCCATCCCTTGGAGCCTCTGTTTGTGGACCCCCCACACCACGATTTCACGCCCAAACACGACCACACCCACTCCCAATGCCCTGCACCATGCCCTGGCAACCCCACCTCTTGGAGCCTCCTGTTTGTTTGAACCCCCCAACCCAAACCCACGATTCTCGCCCAACTCGCCCAACACCCTCTCCATGCCCCCCTCCATGCCCCGGCATCCCCCAACAAATCCTTTGAGACAGCCCTCTGTGTTTGGGCCCCCCAACCCCGCGAATTCTCGCCCAAACTCGACCAACACCCCCCTCCATGCTCCCTTCCATGCCCCGGCATCCCCACCCCTTGGAGCCTCTGTTTTTGGGGCCCCCCACCCCGCGAATGCTCGCCCACCCTCGACCAACACTCCCCTCCATGCACCCCTCCATGCCCCGGCATCCCCATCTCTTGGAGCCTCTGGTTTTGGGACCCCACCCCACGAATTCTCGCACAAACTTGACCAACACCCCCCTCCATGCCCCCCTCCATGCCACGGAATCCCCACCCCTTGGAGCCTCTGTTTTTGGGACCCCCCACCTAACTCGACCAACGCCCCCCTCCATGCCCCCCCTCCATGCCCGGCACCCCCACCACTTGGAGGCTCATTATTGGGGCCCCCCACCCCAAGAATTGTCGCCCAAACTCGACCAAACACCCCCATCCATTGTCCCCCTCCATGCCCGGCATCCCCATCCCTGGAGCCTCTGTATTGGGCCCCCCACCCCGCGAATTCTCGCCCAAACTCGACCAACACCCCCCTCCATGCCCCCCTCCATGCCCCGGCATCCCCATCCCCTGGAGCCTCTGTCTTTGGGCCCCCCCACCCCGCGAATGCACGCCCAAACTCGACCAACATACCCCTCCATGCCCCCCTCCATGCCCCGGCATCCACACCCCTTAGGAGCCTCGTTTTTGACCCCCCCCCCCTTCACGAATTCACCCCCCCCCATGTCCCCCTCTATGCCCAGGCATCCCCACCCCTTGGAGCCTCTGTTTTTGGAACCCCACACCCCACGAATTCTCGCCCAAACTCGACCAACACCCTCCTCCATGCCCCCCTCCATGCCCGGCATCCCCACCCCTTGGAGCCTCTGTTTTTGGGACCCCCCACCACACGAATTCTCGCCCAAACACGACCAACACCCCCCTCCCACCCCTTGGAGCCGGTGTCTTTGGGACCCCCCACCCCATGAATTCTCTCCCACAATCGACCAACACCCCCCTCCATGCCCCGGCATCCTCGCCCCTTGGAGCCTTTGTTTTTGCGACCCCCCACCTCACGAATTCTCGCCCATCTTCGTACAACACCCCACCCTGTGTCCCCGCATCCCCACCCCTTGGTGGCTTTGCTTTTGGGACACCCCACCCCACGAATTCTCACCCCAACATAGACCAACACCCCCCTCCACGCCCCGGCATCCCCACCCCTGGGAACCTCTGTTTTTGAGACCCCGCACCCCACGAATTCGCGCCCCAAATCGACCTACACCCACCTCGATGCCCCGGCAACCCCACCCCTCGGACCCTCTGTTTTTCGATCCCCCCACCCCGCGAACTCTCGCCCAAAACCTACCAACTCCCCCCTCCATGCCCCGGCATCCCCACCCCTTGGAGCCTCTGTTTTTGAAACCACGCACCCGACGAATTCTCGCCCAAAAACCGACCACCCTTAGCCCCGGCATCACCACCCCTTGGAGTCTCTGTTTTTGGGACCCCCCACCCTCGGAATTCTCGCCCAAAATCGACCAACACCCACCTCCATGACCCGGCACCCCCACCTTCGGAGCCTCTGTTTTTGGGACCCCCCCACCCTACAAATTCTCGCCTAAAATCGACCACCAACCCCCTCCATGCCCTGGCATCCCCACTCCTTGGAGCCTCTGTTTGTGTGACCCCCCACCCCACGAATTCTCGCCCACAACCGACCAACAACCCCCTTCATGCCCCGGCTTGCCCACCCCTTGGAGCCTCGGTTTTGGGGACCCCCCACCCCACGAAGTCTCGCCCAAAATCGACCAACAACCCCCTCCATGCCCCGGCATCCCCACCCCTCGGCACCTCTGTTTTGGGGCCCCCCACGTCACGAATTGTCGCCCAAAATCGACCAACACCCCCCTCCGTGCCCCGGCATCTCCAATCTTCGGCAGCATGCCTCTTCTCCTCTGTCCGCGACTGGGTGAACGACTACGACGAGCGTTCGTCGTTGCTCTTGTCGGATTCGGAGATAGCTACCCAGCCTTCTTTACTTTCGCTACCGACGCATGGCTCCGCTCGGCGACTTCCTTCCGTTTGCGCTCCTGGCCAGCACAGCACGCGTTGCATCTCTGCTTCCCATCCGCCTTCTGCGTCGATCGCCCAGCTAACCAGTTCCTGTAGTGGTCCCTCCCGAAAGCGCCCTTGCATTCTACACATTTCCACTTGCCGCGCTCCAGCTTTGCGCCATCGACGCAGCGCTTGCACTTGCGGTTTCGAGCGGCCGCTCCTTCCCACATGAATTGCGAGAAGAATCCACGCCGCTGCAACACCCCGCACTCAACGCAGGCCTTCCCGCGCTCCAGCTTTGCGCCATCGACGCAGCGCTTGCACTTGCGGTTTCGAGCGGCCTCTCCTTCCCACATGAATTGCGAGAAGAATCCACGCCGCTGCAACACCCCGCACTCAACGCAGGCTTTCTCGTCCGTCCTCGCCGCAGAGTCCCGTTGCGCAGCCGCATCCTCGACGCACTGGGTACATGCAATGGCTTCTTGGGAAACGTTGCACCACGTGTGAGCGGAAAACTCCGCCTTACTCTTCGACTCCCCACATTTCGAGCATGCCCTCCGTTTGCCTTCCTCGGCGCGCTGTCTTTCTTCCTCTCTCATTGATTTCTTACACGCTTTGCACTTCCGCTCCTCTGCGTTCCTCTCATTCCTCGCGAATTCGTCCACCAACTTCTCCATGCCGCAGCGGGAACACGTCAGGTGCTTCTTCAGCTCCTCGCACTCTTTGCACATCCCCCCTTTGCACCGGCTGTTCCCTGCAAGGTTCCACTGGTACGGCGCGAACGCTTCTTCGTACTTCCGATCCTCGCACACGCGGCAACTACGTCTCTCGGGGCAGTCCACGCAGCGCCGCGTGGTCAACTTCGACGGGTGGTGCTGTGACGCGTGGAACGCCTCCTCGCACTTCCATAGACCACACTCCATGCATTGCCACGGCGTGCCGGACCTCTTCTTATCTTCCACGCACGAGCTGCACACGCGGAGCCCATCTGCGCGGCTCCACTGCCCGACCGTTGGGTACATGCTCTTGTACTTCGTGCAGCCGCAGACCGCGCGCCTGCCAAACGGCATGAACTCCCGCTCTACCGCCTCCCAATCCAATTCTTCTCCGCGCAACGCGCGCAGCAGTAAGTCCGGGCCCTTCCGTTCATCCTTCTTCTCATACGGCGCCATATCGAAAGGGCGAAAGATCAGCATGTCCTCGCGGCGCTGCACCCGCGTCAGCGCCACGTAGCTCGACAGAGGTGATGTGCCCCCGCCGGTGCTCAGGTCCACTATGACACCTTGCTTGAAAGTTTGCCCCTGCGCCGCATGGGCCGTCACTCCAAAGGCCGGAGCCAGCGGGAACTGCCTTCTTTTCACCTTCAGTCGCGGGCGAGGACGACCTTTGTCCACAAACCACTCCTTCTTTTGCGGAACAACCGGATGCAAGCCTGGAGTCTTTAATCCCTCGATCGTCCACGCGCACGGTTGTCGACCGCCCTTTCCGTCGTCGCCTTCGTCGAACAACACAAAAATCACTTTCGGAATTTTCTTTAGAACCGTCTCTCCGCCGCGCGTGACCTGATCGCGTGCTGCGCCCCCGTCGCAAACCCAAGACTGAACGCGGCCGACGCGACCGCGCAGCAGGTTCTTGTCCTCGCTGCGATCAATGTGATCAGTCAAGGCAACCGGCATGCCTTCCGCGATGGGCAAGAAACCGTGCAAGTCTCCGCTCTCCTTGTCGTGTCGTTGAAGCCATGCCATCTTCTGCTGCGGCAGATCTGGTCTCTCGCGCAGAGCCTCCGGCGTCGGCGTATCCCGCGCAGGGACGTACACCATCGGCTTCCCGCGCCTGCGCGCGTACTGCGACGCTCGAAGCTTGTTGGCTCCATATTTGACGTCGTTGTTCGGAAACACCCCCGGCGCGATGAGGAACTTCTCCGACTGCAGACGCGGGTCGTCCGGTCCATCCACTACCAGACGGCGCCGCGCACGTTCCTCTCTGCACACCTGACACTCCTGCCGGCGGATCTCCTTCGGCGTTATCTTGCGTCTTCGTCGTTGCCCCACTGTACTCGCCCCTACCTCCCCTGCGCCGTCGCACAACTCTTTGCATGCCCGATTCCGACAACCCACGTCTCCGTGCAGCCAGCTACCCGCAACGGTGGTGTCCATGCCGTGCAAGAACGCGCGCGCGTTCACGGACAGTGCTCCTGTACGGAACTCTTCCTGCACCTCCTTCAGTCAGGCGTCATCGCACCGCTCGCACTCGACCAGCTCGGTTATGTCCTGAACCCCGCACTCGGCTCCACCCCTCAGTAGCGATTGGCCATGCAAGACGGGTGGCAGGGAGGTGTGCTTCCGCGCCGCCGCGATGCGCTCGGTGGGAACGTCCGCAAGGAAGCCTCCGTCGGGGGGGGCCAGTTGCCAAAAGTCACCACTCAGCACGACGTTCAAACCGCCGAACGGGCGCGGCACGCCTCCGTCCCCCAGTTTCGCAGTGCCCACATCCCGGATCACACTTCGCAGTTTCGCGTCCACTTCTGCCTGGAGTCTGGCGCTCACCATGCTGATCTCGTCGATAAACAGCCGCCTCCACTGAAGCACGCGCTCGGCAGTCTCGCACTGCAGCTTCACATCCTCCACCTGGTCGGTTCCCCGCTGGATAGCTGGCACGCCGCGCGCATGGCGGATGGTGCCCCCTCCTAACAACTGCGCCATGACGGCTTGCAGGGCGGCGATTTGGAAGTTCACCCCGGTAGTCTACTTCATCACTCCCTCGAACAGCTCGCGGCGAAGGATGCGCAAAACGTGTGATTTGCCCGTGCCAGGGCCCCCGTGCATGCACCGCTGCAGGGGATCCCCCATGGCCGTTTCATCCATTCCCTCGCCATCGATCTCTTGCATTACCCGACGAACCACCTTCTTCACCATCTCGAACTGCTTCGCGTTGACTACGCGCCGCCCCGTGCGTTCGTCCACCCGGAACTCGAGGTCCGCGAGCCATCTCGCCACGTCTTCCGATGTGGCTGCCTCGCCCGCGACAACGACTCCTCCCTCGGCGTCTGCCACCCTGTCGGCCATCGAACACTCTTTGTTCCGCGACCTCCGCGCTTCTCGGAGCACCATGTCCAGGTCACAGGGCTGCTCTGCTGGCCACGAGCCTGTTACCTCGCTGAGCGGCGTTTCTCCGTCCCGGAGCCCCCATGCCTGCTGCGCTACCGCCATGCCTCCTTTCGAGTTGTCGTAGTGCGACGTGCCCCCAGCTCCCTGACCGGCGTCTGCGACCTCCTCCCCGCTGGTGCTGTCTCCGTCCCCATCCTTTCGTCGCTTCCCGCCCACGCGCGACCTCAGCGCCTCGTCGAGCTGCTCGAACCCCACGTCCAATTCCACATCGCTGACGTCTTCGTCGCTCCCCTCTTCCGCTTCGTCAGCGTCCCGTGGCCGGACGCGGTAGACGCTGAGGAAGTTCCCCACGTATCGCGCGGCCTCCTTCGTCTGCACTCCGCCGTCCAACCACGCCACCATGGCTGCATCCCACGTTGGTGCTTGTCCACGCAGGTTCCCTGCGAACGCTACGTGTTGGTCCGCAACGTCGTGCCTCATAGTCCAAGGGTGGAAATACATCATGACATGCGCGCCGAACGCTCCGATTCCCCTGGACGGCCGCGCGGCACGGGCGCACCGAAGAAAGTAGGTGCCATGGGCCTATTATTCCGCTTGAGAATCCACGTGTGGCGAAGGTGGGCACATCCTTCGGTGTCCGGATACGGAACCCAATCCCCGCCTCCGTCTTCCTTCACCGTGTAGTCAACCCCGGGCACCAAGTCCTCCTGCTGACTCACGTTCCCTCGCCTCTCCCGCAGCTTCTCCTTGCCCTCCTGCGTCAAGATTGCGTGATGGCGCGGATGCTCCGCATCAGCGATCCTCGTCGGGTAGGACAGCAACATCGGAGCCCAGTACGTTGCGAACTCATACGGGGATAGGTCCCACAGGCCAGACCTCTTCGGCCGCAGTCCATACAACATGCCCACATCTCGAACGGTTACCTTGCGGCGTCTCTTCTGCCGCATATCCACCTCGGCAAACTGAGCTTTGCGGCCCCCTGGCGCGCGGTCTGCCACCCTCTCGACCAAGTCAACGTACTCGCGCCCGTAAAAGGCTGTCGTCTGGCACGACCTCAATGACTCCGCAGCCGTCACGTCGTTCTCTCGCGCAAAGGCCCTCAAGTTCGCACATCCGACTTGGCCTCGCACGATGCCCTTTCCCCGTTTCGGCGTGGTTGTTGTCGGTTTGGTAATGCTGCCGGTCAGCGGCGCGGTGACCTTTTCCGGCGCGGTGGTGCTCGTCGTCGTTACGTTGTCGTTCCGTGTTATCGTAGAAGGGGGAAACGATCGCACTCTGTGAAATTGTCGATCCGCCGCGATAGTTTCCGACGTGGTTATGCTGCCGGGCAGTGGTGCGGTGGCAGGCGCTCACGTCGCAGTCCCGGTGGCGTCCGTTGTCGTAGAAGTGCCCGCAATGTGGGCTGCCGCTATGGTGTTTGCTGCAATGCGCTTCGAGAGCGCTTTCATTCGGGTACTCTGGGGTCGGCGGCAGAGGCGGCAGCCTTTAGATAGCAGTAGTAATAGTAGTAGTAGGAGCAGCAGTAGCAGCAGCAGCAGCAACAGCAGTAGTTGTAGCAGCAACAGTAGCAGCAGCAACCAGAAGTAGCAGTAGTAGTAGTAGTAGTAGCAGCAGTAGGAGTAGCAGTAACAGTGGCAGTAGCAGTAGCAGTAATAGCAGTGGCAGTCGTAGTAGTAGTAGTAGTAGTAGTAGTAGTAGTAGTAGTAGTGGTGGTGGTAGTAGTGGTAAGTAGCAGTAGTAGTAGTAATAGTAGTAGTAGTAGTAGTAGTACTTGTAGTACTTGTAGTAGTAGTAGTAGTAGTAGTAGTAGTAGTAGTAGTAGTAGTAGTGGTAGTGGTAGTAGTAGTAGTAGTAGTAGTAGTAGTAGTGGTAGCCGTAGTAGTAGTAGTAGTAGCAGTAGTAGTAGTAGTAGTAGTAGTAGTTGAAGTATGAGTAGTAAGAGTAGTAAGAGTAGTAGGAGTAGGGCTACTAGTAGTACGAATAGTAGTTATGGTCGTAGTAGTAGTAGTAGTAGTAAGTGTAGTAGTACTAGTAGTAGTAGTAGTAGTAGTAGTCGTCGTAAACGTAGTACAAATAGTAGTAGTAGCAGTGGCTAGACGTAGTAGTACTAGTACTAGTAGTAGTAGTAGCAGCAGCAGTAACTGTAGTGGTACTCGTAGCAGTGGTAGAAGTAGTCGTAGTGGTAGCAGCATTCAGGGTAGTAGTAGTAATAGGAGTAGGTGTAATAGTAATAGTGGTAGTCGTAGTAATGTCATCTAGTAGAAAGAATCGGTAACTAACGGCTGGTACTTATCGAAATCCACAACGAATAATGGGCTGCTTGTTGCTCGTAGTTGCTTATCTCAGTTAGCAGCTGGTACGAAATAGTTTGTGGTAGTAGTAGTAGTAGTAGTAGTAGTAGAAGCAGCCGTACTAGTGGGAGTATGAGTAGAAATCTCATTATCACTCATCTACGTAGTAGTAGCCAAAGAAGTAGTAGTAATAGTAGTAATAGTAGTAGTAATACTAGTAGTCGTAGTAGTAGTAGTCGTAGTAGTAGTAGTCGTAGTAGTAGTAGCCGTAGTAGTAGTAGTAGTAAAAAGGTCGTAGTCGTAGTCGTAGTCGTAGCAGTAGTAGTAGTAGTAGTAGTAGTAATCGAAAAAGTCGTCGTGCTCAAACTACTAGTAGCAGGTAGTATCCGTAGCGGTAGCAGTAGTAGTAGAAGTAGCAGCAGTAGTAGTAGCAATAGTAGCAGTAGTCGTAGTAGCAGTAGTAGCAGTAGTAGCAGTAGTAGTAGTAGTAGTAGTAGTAGTCGTCGTAGTAATAGTGGTAGTGGCAGTGATAGCGGTGGTAGTAGTAGTAGTAGTAGTAGTAGTAGTAGTAGTAGTCGTAGTAGTAGTAGTGGTAGTAGTAGTAGTAGTTGTAGTAGTATTAGAAGTGGTCGTAGCAGTAGTAGGAGTAGTAGTAGTGGTGGTAGTAGTAGT